TCACCAAATAAAACTATGTCATCTGCATATTCTAAGTCAACAAGTGAACCTCCTGGTAGAAGTTCAACCCCTGTAAATTTAGATGAGGAGAGTGTTATCTCTAAAAGTACGTCAATGACAAAGTTGAACAAGAATGGGGAGAGTGGACAGCCCTGACGAACACCACTTGAGGTGATCAATTCTGATGACAGTTCGCCATAAGCTCTCACTCTACCAGTTGTGTTCGAGTAGAGAGCCTTTATAAGGTTAATGTACTTCTTTGGTACTCCTTTCAGTGACAAACACTGCCATAGAACTTCACGATCAACGGAGTCGAATGCCGCCTTAAGGTCGAGAAATACTACCATTGTGGGGCGTCTGAATGTGTGTCTCTGTTCTAGAACCTGACGTAGTGTGAATATCTGATCTATACAACCACGTCCAGGTCGAAAACCAGCCTGGTTTTCTCTAGTCTGCTCTTCACGAGCTTTAGTTAGGCGTCGAAGTATTATTGAGGCCAATATTTTAGACACTATATTAGTCAAACTGATTCCTCTGTGATTGTCACAAGAGGACTTTTGTCCTTTCTTAAAAACTGGCACAATCAGTGATTGAGACCAGTCAGATGGGATTACGTCCAGTTCCCAAATTCTACCTAAGACCTCAGTTAATCTCATTGCTAATACTGGACCACCATCCTTAAAAATCTCAGGAGTAAACCTGTCAGGGCCTGCTGCTCTCCCTCGTTTCAGATTTCCTATGGCTTTTTCAACTTCGTAAAGGGACGGAGGACTTACATTAACTTGCCATTCAGGTTGACTGGAGATCGTGGGAAACCGAAGTGTGGCTGAAGGCCAGTTGAACTGATCCCTAAAGTGTTCTGCCCATCGATCCAATCTCCTGGATTGAGAATGAATAATATGTCCATCTTTCTCTGAGATTGTTTCGCTAACGGTCGGGTTCCTAATTCCGGTTTCCTTAACGAGTCTAAACAATTGTCTGCTATTACCTATTGCCGCTGCCTTTTCCATCTCTCTTGCTTTCGCTACCCACCACTGTTCGCGATCATTGCGTAGACTTCTTGTCAGCTTGCGCTTAAGCTGACTCCGCTCTTCATTATGTTCAGAGCCAGGTGGAATGAGTTTTCGAGCATCTATCAGTGCGATAGATGCTGCTGAGATCCAGTGTTGCTCCCTAACTTTACGGTTTACCTTACTAGCAGATATCACTGCTGTTTCCACAGCTTTTCGGATATCGTTCCATGCTGCCTCGGGGTGGGCATCACATACATGGCTGCCTAACTGTTTTCCTAGTTGTTCCTGAAATATATTCTTAGCTTGACTATCATTAAGTAGGGCCCTAAGAGGTTTCCTTGCAGGATCTTTCCTACGTCCAGTAAGACGCAAGCAAATACGCGCTCGCACTAGAGCATGATCTGAATCTAGGCATGTGCTCCAGAATGAGCGACAGTCTTCTATCGAGCCCCTCCATCGGTGGCTGATAGCGATGTGATCTATTTGGGTCCAACGTTGGGACGAATTAGGGGGTCGCCATGTTAAAAGATGTTTTTCCTTATGCTTAAAGTTAGTATTTACAAGGAACAGGCGGTTATCTGAGCATAGCTGCAACAGACGGTCGCCATTATCTGTTCTTTGAGCCACGACACCATAGGATCCACCTAGGTGTCTTTCCTTATCGCTTAGTTTACCTACTTGAGCATTAAAGTCACCGGCCACTATTACTACATCCGAGCGCTTAGCTTTTCGGAGAAGGTCCGAAAGCTTTCTGTAAAACTCATCTTTTACATCATCTGAGCTGCAGTCAGTGGGAGAATAGGCAGAGACGACGAAGAGGCAACGACGAGTGTCCCTATCTTTCCGGATTCTTACTGTTCCGTTCAGTCGGACAGCGCACAAACGACTGTTTACTGGGATCCACTCTAAGAGAGCTAGTTCTGCCCTAGGACTCAATGCTATACCTACGCCGGCGAGGCCACGGGAAGCAGAATCAGGGCTTCCAGATACACGAAGCGTAAATCGAGTCGGTTCTTTATTTTGGCATGGTGAGGTCAAATGAATGACGCTACTCGGATCCTGTATGCGCGTTTCGGAGACGCAGCAGACATCGATGGCGCGAGATTCTAAAGTCCTAGCTAAGGAAGCCTGCTGTCCTATTTGGCACAGTGTTCGTACGTTAAAAGCTCCTACGTGTAGTTTAGAGCGTGGTTTCAGGAGACCAGGAATGGCGTTCCACGTACTCGAATCGTTTGCCCTAGCGGTGCGAGGTGATAAAGAGACGTGAGGAGGGTTAGTCGGGAGGATAAGAGAGGTATTAGGAGGTGTAGGAAGGATTTGAATGTGACCACCTTGGTCTCTTGTGCTGTTACGGGTATGAGGGCTGATGTCACTTCCCGGCTGCCCACACCGTGGAAGGGTATTTCTTGATGAACCTGAAAAGGAAATTGGATTAGTGTTGGTCTTGACGACCTGGGAGCGTGACCGCAGAGCCCAAGGGACAACTGCTTGAGGCCGGTCGCGCACGGCCTTTTTGTGGAAGGTTTTTGACGTGTTAGCTCCGTTCTTCAAGGGGCCTTACCGCCGGAGACGGAAATCCGTGAGGTAAGGTGAGGTGTGCATTTTTAGGGTCGACCTTTTCTAACCCCACCCCTCCTTGTGGGAAGGCAGCATCGCTGTCATGCTGGTTGTCCGAGGGAAACACCTTACTGCTGTCACACCTCTCTACAGTCAGCAGTACGACTTCGCCCTCAGACCTTGAGTTGCTGCTTTTAGTCTTACCGTTCGCCAATCGACCTGCCTGGCATGGTAGAACCTGCAGGAACATATGTTCCAGCCAATATAGCTCGGTTGGGTCATCACGATAGGCAAGCCCGACCACCGCGTCAAGGTAGCAGCTTCGATCGGGCCGAACAGCACATAGACGACTGTTGACGGGGATCCACTCTAACACTGCTTTTTCTGCCCTCATGCTTAGTGCTATGCCTACTCCTGCCAGTCCACAAGAACTGGCCATCGGGTCACCAGATACACGGAGGGTGTATCTCGTTGGCTCTCCGTTTTGCCGAGGTGAGGTCAAGTGAATGACCACACTGGAATCCTGTATGCGTGTTTCGGAGACACAGCATACATCAATGGAAAGAGACTCTAGGGTTTTAGCCAAGGAAGCCTGCTGATCGATTTGACATAGAGTGCGTACGTTGAAGGCTCCAATGTGTATTTTGGAGCGAGGTTTCAGTAGACCTGGGACAGTGTTTTGAGCACTAGAATCGTCAGCTATGTTGTCACTTGAGGGGGAAGCCGAAAAAGAAGTTTAGAGTTTGAAGTCGATGTAGGAGGAATAATAGGAATTCAGGAGGGAGGTTGATTATGAATACAGTGGTCTTGAGTGCTGTTAGAGATATGAGGGTGGTTATCACTTTCCGGTTGCCCACACCGTGGAAGGGTTGTTCTGGAGGTACCTGAAAAGGAAATTGGATTACAGGTGGTCTTAGTGACCTGAGAGCGCGACCGCAGTGCCCAAGGGACAACTGCCTGAGGTCGGTCACACGACCTTTTTATGGGCAATTTTTGTGTTAGCTACGTACTTGTTGAGACCCTACCGCCGGAGACGGATATCCGTGAGATAAGGTGAGGTGCGCCTTTTTAGGGTCGACCTTTTCTAACCTCACCCCTCCTTGTGGGAAGGCAGCATCGCTGTTATGCTGGTTGTCTGAAGGAAACACCTTACTGCTGTCACATCTCTGTACAGTCAGCAGTACGACTTCGCCTTCGGACCTTGGGTTTGTTGCTTTTAGTCTTACCGCTCTTCAACCAACCTTTCTGACGTTGTAGGACCTTGAGGAACAGTTGTTCCAGCCAATTTATCTCGGTTGCTTCATCACGATAGGCAAGCCCGACCACCACGTCAAGGTAGAAAAAACGGTCGGGAGTGATAATTCATATCTTTACATATAATGAAAAGATGAATTAAGCAAAGAGATATTTCCTTTCTACTAGTTTTTCATCATGATTGTACACTTGACCATACACTAAGAATAAATTATATTAGCCAAGGTGACTTGGGTTAAATATTAGTGTTAACAGATTTAAGTGTTTATAGAAACAATTGCGAATGATGAATAAAACACGTAAAAGTTAAAGTGCATAAGGTGAATAATGTTCGAAGGTATTTAAGGATAAACGAACAAATTACAATGTACAGATCAAGGATTATTAATATTAGAATGGTTGAAGTGTTTGATAAGAAGTTGAATATTAGTAACAGTTACTTAGTGAAGATTATGTAGGATCGATAATAGGATATTAGGATTGATAAAGTATTTGACAAGAAGTTCAATATTAGTAATAACAGTTGAAATATGTAGTCGAAGAATTGATGGTTAATAAAACTAATTAAGTATAAAGCATGAACTACTAAAGTCAAGTAAGGAACCGCAATCGGACGAGAATTGCGGAAGTATTAAAAGTAGTTCTCTTCACTTTTTATATAACCTATATCAATGGCCAAGTCAGAAAGAGGGGTTGTACATCCTTTTAGGTACAGGGGTTGGTTTTCTGGATATGGATTGGGACAGCTTCAACGGCGTAGAGATGGCAAGCCCGTAAGCTATGTGGTAGATTTGATAGAATTAAGTGCCTTAATAAAGTCAACTTGATGTCATATGTAAACTAAATGAGTGAGAATAGAACTTTTAATCACCATTGTATGTTCTTTGCTCAACCAGTTCATATGCTGTTCTATAACACTGATGGACAATAACACTAAAAATATGTGGCTTGCCTTTTCAATTTGTCTTAGATATGAGTAATTCCGTCTATCACACCACAGGAAAGCGGTTAGTACAAATCATCATATTGTTACATCAAGATTTTGCCTATTTCTCTCCATTTACCACTCTAGTCTTCAATTTATTTTTGAGAATGACAGATTCACTATTTAGTTACTTACTATCTTATCAGTAGTTAGTTTTATATTTACCTGTATTTTGTAACTTTGTGAAATAGAACTGAATTTTGCCAACTGATCCGTTATTCATTATTGATATCACATAAAACACTACTGGACCGTTTATATAATGAGAGTGTTGCAGTTCAAAAGAAGCTCGCCTATGAACTAGCGATTCTTGAAGGAAAGGTCAGTTAACGGTAATTTTATAATGGTTTATTCAGTTTTTGTTGTTGACAAGTTTTTGATACTATTTTAAATGCTTACATCTCAAATTGTGAGCATTCTTGGGACTGCAATAATCTGTTGGTTCGAGTTTTCGTGGTTAGATCGTGTAATGTGTAACAGAGCTTTGGCTGAGTGTTTTAAATATAGACCCTTTAATTGTCGGAGATTATCTCCAATCCTTTATTACACTTTCGTTATCGGCATATTGATACCATATATACCTTTCATGCCACAAGGCATAATTCAAAAACATATAATTAATCGATGGATTGCATAATTAAAACCTTTCTTTCCATGTCAGTCCACAGGCTATCTTTAGTATTGCTACGTAAATTATCCTCTTAATTTCTGGATGAGCGTTTCTAAGCAAGAATAAGGAATAAATTGTGAAGTAAATTGTATTCATTTCATTCACATGTTCACTAATTTGTTCTAATAAACAAAATGTTTTATAATTGTAATTGTAATATATAGATGAATATTTTAAATGTGAATAAAACCATGATGTAATCGGTGATAAGAATCATTTGCAAGTTTTGATTACAACAGATGAAGTGATGATAATGGTAATAATTACCGAACAGAAACAACGTTGAATTAATTATAACAGTGGAGATAGTAATACTAATAATGATAACAATAATTGTGGGGAGAATATGATTAATGTCCAATATATGTTTTCCTATTGCACTGCTAGGTAGTTTGGAGTCAATCAAGATTAAATCGTAATCTTGTTGACATTTAAGGGAAAGTTATCGGGGACAAGTTGAGAATAGTGCACATATAAGCAAGCCCATTTTAGTAATCTTGATGAATAAATCGTAGTATACACGGTGAATGATTCACTAAATCCCGTTTTCTCCCATAGTAATTCATTCTGAAGTAAACGTTTACGTTTATGACGTATTAATTTAGCTACATATTTTACCACAGATGTGAAATTCTTCGAAAAACAGTATCGAAATAGTTTGGTTGATCTGCAGGTGGTGCTAACGTTTAGTTCAACTTTTGTGAGTGAGGACAATCATTTATTATCAACATGGAACTTGCTGTAGTCTTTTAATAGGATAGACCTATCTGTTTGGATTCTGTCCACTTTAATATTTTGGTGACCAATAGGATTTAGATTGTATCAATCACAAAACATTCTTATCAGTACTAAGTGATGTCATGGTAAAGAACGGTAATTAAAATACGACTAAATGGTTTGAGAACTGAATAGTCTGTCGCAGAAATCCAGCAACAGCACTTTAAAAGAAAATATGAGGTAACAGTACATATAAAAAAAGTTATAGATTACGAAAACAGATCGATCCTGGACCATCTACGTGGAATAACACATTATTAATATACGCATCTGTAAATGTTAAACTGTGTAATGGAAATTTAAAATATCTGTAACATTTACAATTATACTATATAGATATCACCCCCTTTTGATGCATTATATCCAGTCAATTGATATTATGCTAATAAACGATTCTTTTATGCTGAGAAGTTATCAACGTGCCAAGGAGTGGTGGTTTAAATTTTTGATGTCTATGTTGCTTGCTTACTTAAGCTTACTACCCAACTTAGTCTGTCGAGAAATATGAAGAGTAGTACACAACTTCATGGATTGATATAAGGTAGTTTAATGATCGAGAAGTAAAAGAGTAATACTAAGATAAGACCAAATGTGTGAAGGATAATTATCCACTTAAGGAGTATAAGAAGGATGTCTAAATTAAAAAAAAACATGGTGTTAATAAAAATGACTAAAGATTAAAAACATTAAAATGAATTGCCAATAACCGATTAAATGTGTGTGAAAATTTAGGTATTAGAGTCATAGTATACCTTATTTGTCGAGATGGGGTCTGGTTAGAAAAAGTGGGGAAGTGGTCAGTTTATGACATGATGCCCGGGTGTAAAACAAAACTGAACACGACTGAGATCTTTCAATCCTTTATAATTCTCTGATTGAGGTCTGAGAGATGGTGCAATCTAGTTACTTGAGACTATCAGATGTGGCTCAAAATAGACTTTGGTGTCAGTCCTGATGTAATTTATCTTTCTTTTTCATATGAAAGTGAGAACTTTTTTAACTGGAAAGATTCCTTGTTGTATTTTTATGTACTGAACTGCTCATCCGATAACATACTAATCTCGTTCACTGCTATTCATTTATTGGTATCTGATTATATTCACCCTTGTTCATTTATCCCTTCATTATCTCATACTCTGACTTATATGGCCCATATTTATTTTGATCCCCATTTATGTCATTTTGTACGAGTTCAAATAAATGAATAAAATGGATATTTTGCCATTTGTTATTTGAATTTGTATTTTTGAAACGCTTATTTGATAGGATTTCACTTACAATCCTATTAGTTTACTGATAAAATCATCAACTACTTTGTCAAGTATTTCTAAAATTCGAATCATGAAAGGAACATATGATGTCTTCACCTTCTAGTCTTAATCTAGCAGTTAAAAAACAATCAAAAAAACCTAGATGATATCTACTTTCGGCACTCAGCATCTTTTATACATCTGAAGATAATTTTTGTCGCTTACTAACTTCAGCTAGATAGAGATTCAAATCCGGAGTCATTTGATCAACTCTTTCATATTATGTGTCTGCCTAACATTGCACAAATCTGCGGCTGTACATGACATTGAAATAAAGAACCTTCAGTTTCGTAGCCTACTGTTTTTTTTTTAAAATCTCCCCAGTCGATTTCATTTCTTAATTAAAAATTGTCGGTTTGATTTACATTTCGCAAGCCATTTACTTAAACCTACATATTTATTCAATTCAACAACATGAGTTTCTTAATATTTAGCCTTTTTTGTTGTTGAAAAAATCTTTTTAATCAGGCCAATAATCATGTGAAGGCTTTAAAATATCTTATTGAAGATGTAAATGATTATAAAGCCGCATTGTACTATTGTCTTACATTCAGCCGTCAACAACTTATTCATTGTAGTGCACGTAACAATGATACTAATGTAAAATGTAATACAATAGCAGTAAATTCACTTGGTACTTATCACCATTGGAACCAGTTTGAATTTATGGAAGGTGATTCTAGTAATCAATCAATATCCTCCTTGTTATTTACAACATTTGTTGAAATCTGTCTTGATAGGTAAGAATTTGACTTGATTTAAATTATAGTTTACTATTTATGGATTAATATTTTCATAATAATAATATGTAGGAGGGTTTTTAAAACTTGATTTATTCTCATGAATAACTTAAAAACTGTCTACAAGCTTTATTAAATCATTATGATGAATATTAATTGTGTGTTAACTGCTGATTAGGGTCGATTATGAGTTCTTGGGGTTATTTTATGATACCATGGTCTGTTTGCTCAACTCTGTGACTGGGTAATATTGTACTCATTTCAAATGATATGTTCAATCCTAAGATTAGTTGTGGATATGCACCACCGAGGAGCATCAAATTAAAACAAAATACACTTTCAATACCGTTTAGTTTTTACTGATCATCCATTGCATAAAAAAATTACTTTCCAGTTGTTAAACTGTAGTGTTTGGAAATAATGGAATTCGTAATGACCAGGAGTACTGTATATACCAGTATCGAAATCAGTGAGATTACAGTGAGTACAATTAGAAATATTGTATTTGAAAATCAGCTCAACCGTAGAATCGCGTACAAAAGAAATCATCGATTAGTACAAATACCACAAAAACATCTCGACAAAATCAATAAAGTAAATTAAGATTATTAGGTCAGAATATTCAGAATACAGATTTAATGAACGGAATTACAAGTGTAGTCTAATGAATTGAAAGATAATAAGAATGATAGCGATAACTGGAATAGTCATTTGAATTTTTGTTCAGTTTCCATAAGTTGTGATATCTGTGGCTTCCAAAAGTAGTTGGATTATATTGATCAATTATTTCATTATCAAGTCCAAAATAAACTAGTATATGTTTTTGTTATAACTGTGAAAAATAATGCTGCGGATCAAAGGGATAGCGAATTATTGATCCGACCAAAGACGCGCAAACACGTAGAACGTCCTAGGGTTCTGATTGGTCCCGCTTCCCTGTCTAACCCAGCCAGTTGAGTCCAGAACACAAGTCACAGCCTCGGAGATATGAATCATTATATTTCAAACATACTTTGTTTATATACCAGTCAAGCAGACCACAACGTACCATAAAATAGAAAATAACATTGTACAATAATGGCCAGTAGGAAAATGACACGTTAAATAAATATTGACCAATAAGATGATACCATTTCATGTCCAAGGATAGCATTAGGCTTAACAAGATAATTTTTGGGATATTTTCCTGAATATCCCAACAGTTTTACAGAAAAATTCTCACTATTGTCATAAGTTTTTATTCAAAAATTGTATTTATACAAAGTAATTAATAGATTGTTACTTTTAATATGCAATTTTGAATAATTTTGATTTCATTGGAATTTATGTGGTTCACGAAAAGTCAGTGAATAAAATGATTGATTACATCTACCCCTACTTTTTATATCTCTTACTGAATTCATATCACTTCATACATTACAGTACGTAGTCCTGAAGCAAATATTTGATCTGATTTTTGTTAAATGAATTGTCAGATCAATCAGAAAATGTAGAAATCGTAAGTAGACTCCAAAAACATAAATGTCGAAATATTCAAGTTTGGTTATATCCTAAATACTTTGTGATCTGTAAAGTATTAAGTAATTTAGTACGTGGATGTTATAAGTTGTAAGCAGTCTATGAGATTCCATTGAGCTAAAGTTTCAACGCTACTAGCATCAGGTGAATAACCATTAGAAATCAATGATAATCGAATAATTGTTTCTACTTAGTGGGATGTTGTGTTGTATTGAGTTTGTTGAGACAGCTATTTTTTGGTAGTGTGTTATGGTGTGCGAATCACCTGTAGTTAAAACTGTGAATTATTGGTTTTCAACCCGTTTATTCAGTGATGCCTTTTTCACTGAGAGATGTGACGATTTTTGTTTCCGTTTCATGTAGGATCGCGAATATTCTTTATAAATTAATCTCAAACTGAGATGAATCAGTTATCGAGTGCTTCTTGGTTTTTGCCATTTTTTATTTGATTACAGTTCATAATGAAGGACATATATGAATTACGTGTTACATTATTTAGTCATGTTATCAGAAATTATCCGTATTTTTCAAGTGTGAGATATAAGTCACATAATAGTAATAAGTAGTAGTTTATATAAAGATGTATGGGAAAATTACCCACTTGACGAATATCAGGAATATGAAGGACGAAAGAATTTCGCAATAATAACTTGTAAAATTAGAAGTGGTACTAAGATCATGGTGCAATAACTTAATAAATATGTCTCTCGTGAACACAAAGATCGGGGTTGAATTGGTGAACCGACAATTCCTCAGAAATGTACAAATTTCTGATCCAAACTCTTAATTCAGTTTTTGCAACTTTGTAGATACCCTTGAATGGTGGTTCCTTTGAGTTGAAATAACGTAACACTCTTCTATTTTGTTATAATTTATAAGTAAAAACTAACCATAAATATGACTGTAAAAGTTCAATTAAATGATATTGTTGAATAGAAAATTTTATGCACCGAATCCCTTTCATTTTTCATCTACGTTAAATCATAAATCATGTTAAAATCACAGAAATTTATAGTTTCTATCTATTTGTTACGTGAAAATTTAACACTTCGAAAATGAAAGTGTTTTGTAACGTCGATCGAGTCAGAACAACACACATATACGAACAATATTTTCAATTAAACACTTCATCAGACTTTAATGTAATTTTAACATGGATGTATTAAAAATATTGAACCAGTCAATACAATATGTTGGTCTATTGTAACAATGAAAAAGTTTTACATAACTGCTTATTTGACAGGTTTAGTAATAAATAAAATATTATAAACAAAGTAGCAATATGAATAAGAATACTGACTTAAGAAGTAGGTCAAAGTTTACAAAGATAAATGTACCAAAATAATAATTATTATTATTAACTAGACCATTTTTTCAAGACTAAAAATGGCTGAATAGGTGTTACGTCTTAATATGAGACTGAATAATGTGCATCTAATACCCTTCCATACGAAATCGAACCCTAGAACGTTGGCCCTATATGCAAACTCTGAGCGCGTTGCTAAGTAGTCACACGTTTGAATCAAATAATGGTTCAGTCCTTTCTCGTTTTCAATGGTGATCTAGCTAATATTAATTCGTGATTTAAATAATTAAAATCTTCGCCATCTCCATAAACTCCCTTATACTAAAAATACTAATGACTGAAAATTACGTACTAATAAATGTATGAATAGTCAGTTTAAGTATACAGATAATTATCATTAATTCAGAAATTGCTATAACTGATCTCTACCTTTCTCATACATGCACATAAAAATTATGGTATATTTGGTGTGAAGCTGGATAAATATCCAATGGGAAACAATTTTGTTCATTTGTTTGTGTTGTTAGGAATTTTTACACTATGAAAATTTCTAAAGAAAATTTATCTCCAATCTATTAAATTACTCAAAAGTTTAACAATTAAAAACAGTGAATTGAAAACTTTTGACATTATAATATCTCTTTTTCATTCGTTTCTATGTATTCGTTTTCCTCCCTGTTTGTTTGTCTCTGTTTAAATAGACTTCGTACTAACGAGAACAATTCTAAAGATATAAAGAAAATGATTTTGAATCTTCTGAATAATCCTGATTTAACATTTAATTATTCAAAGGTAATTAGTTACTCTTTTTCCTCTATGTCATATATGTTGGAATTGTTATAATGATACATTAATGTTGGTTTATTCAATGAGTCAATATTGTTGATCCTAGACATGATAGCAATTAATTTCATCTTAGTACTCCTCGTAATTACTTAAATTCGTGAATGCCTGATAAACATTCATAGATTTATTTAATAATACTTAAATTGATCGTCTACTTCGTTCCTACTCTACTTTGATTTGTTGCTTTTCATTTAGACGAATTTCCCTGTTTGATTTAACTAAGACTCTAGGGTTTTTCTATTTGCTCAACTTCTTTTCTTAGTTGCTAATGGTCTATCTATACTAAGAAATGACATAAGCATAATTCCCATCTTGATTTGCTCGGAGTTAACTGCGGACTATGTGCACAATGTGTAAAATCGTCCTCAGGACCCATAGACATAATCCTCTATCATCAAACCCCCTAAATTTAACTTTGATATATTCGAAGGACAATTTAATATTTAGCTACATCTACTTGGATATCAGAGTAATAAAGTTTCAATTCTTATTGTAATCCTTTATACAAGTGTGTTTTGGTTATTAATATAAGGTTCATTGATCTTACAGTAATCACAAACTCAAAATTACTGACTGTTTGTCAAACAAAGGTACAGTGAAAACTTTGTTTTTAATGTTTTCCAGTTTTCAGTGTCTCTTTCACCTGATATAGACTTTTTTTACGAAAACTATCTTCAAATTAATCATATCCTTTGAAAAAGAAACATTAAGTATTGTTATTTTTTTTTCCAGTTATTATCTCGTTTTCCATCAACATGGAACATTCTGGAAATCAAACCATTTTTACATAATGCATTTCGATCTACTCTACAAGAATGGTCAGAACTTCAGTTAGAATATGGTTTGACTAAATATAATGCGAAATTATCTATTGTTGATCTCCCTAACAAATCACATTTTCTATTAATTAAAGATGATACTTTGTGTTCTGTATGCCATCAATCAATTTGTGTATATGGTCCATCTGATAGTTTTGCTTGGCTTATTCCTAAAAACCAAGTTGTTCACACTCACTGTTTGTCATCTAATCAATGAATAAAATCTATGCTTATGTAATTCCTTTTTCCTCTAATTTATTTTTGTACTTCTGTTGTTTGCCTAGTGTTTTCTTATTTATTGATTTTGTTTTTTCTTCTATCCTGTTGATCATTAAAGTCATTCAAACCGACAAACTGTTCTGCACTATATTTACTTAACTTTCTTTTTCTTTGTTTAATGTACATATTTACATGTTTTCTATGAGCTATTACGTTTTCTTGTATTTATATATACATAATATTAACAACTTGGTACTTGAAAAGAATGTCCACTCTTGTCATGCCTGTTGAACAATTTATAAGCCATCTGAATTCAGTAGCATAATAAATGAAGCATTTAAATTTAGAGCGATAATTTTCTAAGTTTGAGTTGACATATGAACACTAAGATACAAGGACGTTTAGTTGACGAATCGTAAATAAGATAAGAACGTTCACCCTTAACTATGTTGCGGAGTATAATGCAAAGTCATAAAAAAAATTTGTAGATAAAAGCAATTTTCATTATTCATTTAAACACACAAACATTGGTACAAGGGGGCACCAAATACATATGCACCACACAATAACAATCAGTGTGAGGAGATACAGAATGTAAAGTGTGTATGATATAGAGAATAACAACAACAAACAGAAATTAGTGTATGAGGGTGAAATAATAATAGTGGCGGAAACAGTTCAGTTAGTAAAAATACAACCAGAAAGATTCCTTTCAGTTAAAGAAGTTACGCTCACTTTTACGAAGGAAGTAAAACAAGTTACCACAGGATCGCCACTGGTTTCTATTCTCAGCCATGTCTGATAGTGTCTCAAACCACTGTGCTACACCATCTCTAGGACTTCAATTAGGAAGTCGTGAAGGACCAACAGAAGCCAGTCATTTTCAGCATTCTTTCATACCTCAACACAATATCATACACTGACCACCTCACTGCTTTTTGCAACCAGTCCTAGCGTCGATAAGCAATGCACGACTTGGAATTTTCTGGGACGACATTCGTAGAACATGAGTAAGCCACCGAAGTCGATGTTTCAAGATAGTGACACCAATTGAATTATCGTCTCTGTGCCCGAACACACGATGCCGAACCTCTGCATTACTAACATGGTGTTGCCACTTGATGTCAGCAATCTTTCGGAGATCGCGATGATCGAACACAGAGAGTCATCTAACATCCTCAACTCGGAGAGGCCAGGTTTCACAAGCATAGAGCAAAACTGCTCTCATCGACGCGTTGTAGATTCGAACTTTTACAGCCAGACTAACATCACGAAGGCGCCAAAGATGGCCCAGATTGGCATAAACCGCTCTGGCTTTCACTATACGAGGATTGATCTCATCACTCACGCCACCACCAGCACTTATGCAGCTACCCAGATACACGAACTCAACTACTTCTATCTGCTCACTATCCAGGGTGAGTACAGGATTAGAATCCTGCCAGTCTTTGAGAAGTACTTTGCACTTCGAAGGTACAAAGCACATACCATACCTACGGACACTGATTGCCAACTGATTAAGTGCGGACTGCATGCTTTGGGCATTGTCGCACAGTAAGACAATATTATCCGCATACTCAAGGTCGAGAAGTCTTTCTCCAGGAAACAGATCCATATGATTGTTGGCCTATGATAAGTATGACGGTGTTCTAACATCCGGTGGAGGGTGAAGATATGATCGATACATCCTCGACCAGAACGAAAACCAGCCTGCTCCACGCGAGTCAATCTTTCTCGGGTTTTGAACAATCTACGAAGTATGACTAAAGCCAATAGTTTGGACTCGGAAGTGTACTTATCCCTCGATAGTTGTTACAGAACCCTTTAAAGATAAGGACAACTATCGACTAATTCCATGATGTTGAAGCACTCTCTAATTGTCAAAGCATTGTAACTAACTCAGACAGTTCCTTGACCAGAAAGTCACCATCTTTAAAAGTACCGTAGGTAAGTCACATGGACCCGGTGATTTGTAGCGCTTCAAGAGTTGGAGTTTTTTGCGGACGTCTACCTGGCTAAGTGAATCAGTCGTCCCAGGCCACAAAGGGCAGGAAACTTCGATCGATGTCGCCGTGGCAAAAGGTCAGTTGAACTGCTCCTCGAAAAACTGCCCGTCGATCAAGACGTCTATAGATGTTAGCGATTGGCATCCCGTCATCTTCACGGATTGTTTCACTCACACCAGACTTATTGCTGTCAATGGCTCGGATGAGTTGAAAGATCTGCAAATTGACAGATGCAGCTGCTGCTTCCAACTCATTGTAATACTCCGACCACCAGGCTTCTCGGTTTTCACATAAGCTTTGTCCAATTTCATTACTACTTAACAATCGTCGTTCATGGTCAATCTCACGGTCATCCGGAGTAGACCGACGTGCTTCAATGAGTTGTAAGGAGCCTGAAGGAACAAAGTGCTTATACGAGGGACGTTTCGTGAAGCCACAAGAGACTTTACTCGCGATTTTCATGGCGTTATGCAACTGCAACCAATACTCATCTATAATTTACGGTAAGATGTTACCCATCCTTGAACCTAGCTTAGTTTGATGTTTAGTTGCAACAGAAGCTGCAATCAATTCTCCAACCTGTGACCAACCCTATCTGTTATCCGATCTGCATTAGTTTGCGAATGTTGAAGGAGACTATTTTGAACGGTATGCGTGGTTTCAGAAAGACTGTTTCAGTATTCGTATTCGGTGGTAGCACTCAACTTTCGACCAGTCAGTGACTCGATATCGTTTAGATGAAATAGAGTCGTCACCATAGGCGAGCTACTGTATAAGTTAAAAAATAAAATACACAAAGTGAGAATAAAGAGGAATACATAAGTGGCGTAGTATAAAAGAAATAAAAACGAATATTAGGTGATTGTGAATAACATTTTTCTCAGCAAGCGTTGAAGCAAGAGAAAGTTTCCCAGTCATAGTTATCATTGATTTCTGTGTGGGTTGTGATACGACCCAGGTTCCCAAATCAAAGCAGGAGGTTTTCTTGGGAGGTCAATCCCGAAGTCTTTGACCTGAAGGTCTAATCCACAAGGCAGTGGATCAACATCAGGAGATGAAGTCCCATGGTAACCGGTCACCAACAATTGGTTCATGCACCATCCTTTCCTTTAGGATCTTGGAGCCCATGTGCACTATTAGTTTGGAATCCGAGTTTTCCAACTCCCCTAGGTGGAGTCTCCCTGTCCACCGACCCGGTTAAAGCGCCGGACATTCGCTTATCGTTCTCTCAATTCCGGAAACGACACCACCGCAAGAAGGCAGTAAGTAGGACTTCCCTGGCATTGGCTGTATACGCGCGGCCATGTGAGAGCATTTCGAGAGGGAGAGCTGATTCTCCTCAACCGTACCAGGGCATTTGAGGGCCATAAAATCATGGTAAATATGTTGCCAACAGTGACTAAAACAAATTCAATCCTGACTATCAACGATTGGGAAATAAACATTTACGAGTTAGGAGACTGTAGTGGTTGTGCTTCGTTAACCAATCACCCTCGTAACCGTTATCATATATTCATCAACGGTGTTTGAACTCAGAAGGAAAAGAGAAGCAGCGACTACAGTTTTATTACCAGATAACTAAAACCACAAAGCAGTGAGGCGAATGAGTGAGTCAGCGAACCGAGAGTGTAGAGTGTTAAATGTACATGCATATTTATATATGGAAATGAATGAATCATTGAATCGATTAAGCAGCTAATAATAAAGCTAGCAGAATGAATATATGCGTAGGCGGTAAGAAATGCTCAAGCATACATATTTCATACAAGCTTACTGACTTACGCTTGTTACTCCCAATGGAGTATAGGCCACCGACCAGCATTCTCCAACCCACTCTGTCCTGGGCCTTCCCTTCTAGTTCCATCCAACTTTTGTTCATTCTTCTCATGTCTATCTCCATTTCACGGCATAAGGTGTTCTTTGGTCTTCCTCTCTTCCTCCTTTGGCCTCTAGGATTCCATGTGAGGGCTTGTCTTGTGACGCAGTTGGGTGCTTTCCTCAATGTGTGTCCTATCCACTTCCAGCGCTTCTCCCTGATTTCTTCCTCCGCTGGGATCTGGTTTGTTCTCTTCCACAGCACGTTGTTGCTAATAGTTTCCGGCCAACGGATCCGAAGTACTTAGCGTAGACAACTTTTAATAAACACCTGTATTTTCTGGATGATGGCTTTTGTAGTTCTCCAGGTTTCTGCCCCATACAGTAGAACTGTCTTGACATTTGTATTGAAAATCCTGACCTTGGTGTTGGTTGACAGTTGCTTTGAGTTCCAGATGTTCCTCAGTTGTAAATATGCTGCTCTTGCTTTGCCGATCCGTGCCCTCACATCTGCATCAGATCCACCCTGTTCATCAGTAATGCTGCCCAAATATGTAAAGGTTTTTACATCTTCCAAATCTTCTCCGTCAACTGTGATTGGATTGGTGCATGCTGTGTTGTATCGGAGAATCTTGTTTTTCTCTTTGTGTATATTGAGACCTACTGCTGCTGAGGCTGTTGCCACACTGTTCGTCTTCACCTGCATTTGTTGTTGCGTTTGCGATAGAAGGGCCAGATCATCTGAGAAGTCTAGATCGTCCAACTGCATCCTAGATGTCCATTGTATCCCGTGCTTTCCTTCAGATGTTGACGTCTTCATGATCCAGTCGATCGCCAGGAGAAAGAGAAAGGGTGAGAGTAAGCAACTTTGCCTGACACCGGTCTTTACTTCGAACAAACTTGTCAACTGTCCTCCGTGCACGACTTTGCAGTTCAATCCATCATATGAACTCTGTATGCTAGTGACTATCTTTCGAGGCTGGCCGTAGTGTCGAAGAAGTTTCCATAGTGTTGTTCTTTCCACACTATCAAATGCCTTTTCGTAGTCGATGAAGTTGATGTAGAGTGATGAATTCCATTCAATTGATTGTTCTTTGTCGTGTCATACAGTTCTCTCATGTTTCCTTCTCTTGCAGCCTTTTCCGTCGTCGTTGCTAAATCTTCCTTATATTTACGTTTGTCGGTTCTGATGCTCCTCTTCACTTGTTTGTTTACTTCTGTGTATTCAGCTTATGCCTTGGCTTTTTCTGCTCCTGTTCGGCTGGTATTAATTGCTGCCTTCTTGTTCCTCCTTTCTTGAATCTTATCCAGTGTATCAACAGTGATCCATTCCTTGTGACGGTGCTTCTTGTGACCCAGGACCTCATGACATGTTGAAGTGATTGCCTGTTTGATCCCCTTCCAGTTGCTCTCCACAGTAGTTCCTTCTCCATTGAGTAGATCATGAAAGGCCTGGAACTTATTGCTGAGGACTATCTTGAATTTGTTGAGTTTGTTAGTATCTTGGAGAAAGGCCGTATTGAACAT